TGGGAAGCCAGTGAGTGATCCCCAAGGGGAGGGCTCCCCCCGGCTGCGGAGCCCCCCAGCTCTGCACTAACCTTTCCCCTCCACCATGCTTGATGCATCCCCAGCAGGGTCCGGCCGTGGGGGCTCGGTGCCCCCAGCTGAGCGGGAGATGGAAGAATTCCACTTACTTTGATTTTTTTTGTTTTGTTTTGTTTTGTTTTGGATTGATCATTTTTCTGCAAAACATCAGCACAGCACAGGACAGTACTACCCACCCTAAATGTGTCGCTATATACATTCTACATAAGCTCTATAGCAATCACATGTAAACATCATCGTCGTGAGGAAATACTAGGACAGAAAAAGGCAAAGCTACAATGAGGCAATTGCCAGTCACAGATGCTCAGTCTCGGCCAGAGCTACTCGCGTTTGCTAAGGTGGGATGAGAAGAGGAGAGGAGCTTGTGGCAGGAGAGATGCCAAACCTTGCTGCTGAGGGTGAAATGGGACGAGGACTGTCCCCTCAACATCATTGTCACCGACGGCAGGTTGGGGACCCGCAGCTCAAACCCCGCAGCAGCCCATGGGCCCTGGTGCTGCCGGGCTGGCTGTTGTCAGAGCCATGGCTTCCCTGACAGCGGGAGAACTAGCCAGGTAGCTGTGCTGGTATCGGCACTGCCGGCATCCCTGCTCCCGCCAGAGACCAGCTGCAAACACGGCCCCGAGCCACGGGCCACCTCGGCAGCGCTCGGGCTCCTGGCATCGCATCTTGTGCAATTTCAGAGGCTTTGGTCATACTCCCTGCAAGACAAAACTGTACCCGCGCCAGGAAAATGAGAATAAAACCCCTAAGTCATGGTGAGGGGAGACCCCAGGAGACTCTAATCTATCTATTGGCAGAGTTAAGGCTATAAAATTCTATCTACAGAGGATGGCTGAATCCCTAGTGGTCTCTGAGTCTGAAAAATAAATGGAGACGATGGCGATGGCTTGAGGAGCAGTGAGACTCCCGCTCCCTTGGGACAATGGTGCCTCTGGCTGGCTCGCGGCGGGTGTGCTCCAGCTGGGCTCCCCTCCTGCCTTGCCTGGAGATGGAGAGCAAGCTTGCAAGAACATTTTTTGGAAGGGGTTTGCTGCCTGAGCACGCCTTAAATCCAGCACTGCCGGGCAGAGTGGGCGAGCACGCCACGGGGCACCAGCGTGGGGGATGGATCCGGGGTGCCAGCAGGGTGCTGGGGACATGTATGGCTTATCAGGTACCGGGCAACGCACGGGCAGGGTGCTGGGTGCGGCAGGTGTTTGGTATGGTGGCCATTCCCCCTCCCGCCTCCCTGCCTTGCTGGATTTTGGGCTGGTGGCCAGGCAGGGACCACAGACGGGTCTTCTCGCCCCGCTGGCTTTGCAAGGTGGGGATGTGAGTGGGGAGCAAGTCACTCGGCCCAGCTGCTCTCCCAGCCACACAAGGAGCCAGAGAGAAACCAGCTCCCTCGCATGGACCCGGAG